GGGGGGGGGGGGGGGGGGGGGCTGCTGCTCTTGAGAAGCAGGTGGAGAATTGCTCCTTTCCCTGGAGAGAGCTGGAGAAATCATCTCCCAGATTTCTTTGCCCACAAAGATGGTGGTGGAATCGTCTCTCGCCAGCCCATCTCAAGGGAAGATAACTGGGAAGTTGGGGCAGCCAGGGAGGCTGCAGAGGGAAGGAAGGAAGAGGTGAAACATCAATCCTCAAGGAGGCTCAAAAATGCCACCTAGAGAAATCTGAAAGAAATTTTCAAGCCTCCCGAGAGTAAAGTACCCAAACAGACACATCCTTCATGGGAGAAGAAACTTTGGAGAAATGGCAAGGGTGGATACGACACAGCATCGCATCGTATTCCTCTCCTTTCCCCAGGCCTCTGATGAAGTGGACTGTCAGCGGGAAAGCCTGTGCAAAAATAAATTAGTCTTTAAGGTGCCACCATCTTCGCTGTTTCAGAAAAAAGCGGAAGTAGGGGTGTCTGCAGGGTGTAGTCAAAAAAGCCAATGCTGCATATAAAAACACAGGCAGAGCTTCAATCGTACTATTGTGGCCGCCATATTAACTTTTTGACCATACCGTGTGGACATCCCTGTCCCCAGGCCTGGACTCTGCCCACTCCTGTCCTCAGAGACCCTGCACGAAAGCCCTTGAATGTTCATGCCCCCTTTCTCTGAATTCCTGAGATCTTTAAAACAGCCTCCTGAAACTTCTTTTGGGTTCTCGCTTAAAGTCACCATTTCTGCACGTTCCTTTGCAGAAAGGGTGGACAGATCTGGAATGAGGACCTTGGTGGAACTTTTTGGCACCCAGGAAGGCATAACTAAGACATTTAAAAAAAAAAATTGAACTACATTGAATCAAGGTCATGTTTGCCACAATCTCTGCACGCTTTAAGTAATCCGCACAACGTTTGCTGGGACCGATTTCTGAGTTCATGTGCCTATTATGGATTTGGCTCAAGCTTCTCCACCTTGCTGCCTGCATAAAGTACTTCTGGGAGTCTACAGTACAGCATTCATCACCAAGTTTGTTTAAGAGTAAAACATTTTTTTCCTTTCTTTTGTCACCAGGGGGAACCCTCTGAATGCAAATAGGCCCAACTTCCAGCCACCGGCTTAGGTAGCCACTCA